GGAGGGGACCTTTCGGGGGCTCCCCGCCCGGGCTCCAGGCCCCCCTCCAGCCCCTCCGGAAGGGATGGCCAGGTTTTGGGGGGAGGCAGGAGAGCCCGCCCCCCTTTTTTTCTTCCCCTCCCCCATCTCCGAGGAGCGAGCGCTTGGGTTTTTCTCCCCCTTTCCCTGGAAATGCCGGCGGGGCTGGGAGGGGGCAGCCCGGCTGCTCCCCCGGGGCAGGGCGCTGGAGGAGCGGGGAGCCCTGCTTGCGAGGGAGCCGAGCCCCGCGCTCCGCACGTGCCCTTTCGTGAGGGCTGGGGTGGTTTGGAGTTTTGGGTTTTTGCGGGGTGTTTTTTGGCCATTTTGAGGGGGGCAGCCCGGCTGCTCCCCCGGGGCAGGGCGCTGGGGGAGCGGGGAGCCCTGCTTGCGAGGGAGCCGAGCCCCGCGCTCCGCACGTGCCCTTTCGTGAGGGCTGGGGTGGTTTGGAGTTTTGGGTTTTTGCGGGGTGTTTTTTGGCCATTTTGAAAGATCCCAGCAGGCCTCCGCAGCGGGCTGAGCAGAGCCCACAGCTGGGCTGCTGGGACCCTTCCCATCCTCCCAGTCCGGTCGCTGGGTGGCAGGTTTGAGGCAGAAATAACAGGAGAGCGGAGGAGTTGGGGGGAGAGCGGTGAAGAAAGTTGCCACTCGCAGCCCTTTAAAATACACTGCTGCTTCTTGCTAGACCCTTTCTGGGTAGCCGAGGGAGCCCCTGGTGCGGGGTTGGGGTGGCAGGGGGACAGGAGGGTATTTGGGGACCAGCCTCTGGGGCTGCGCTGCCCGCACAAAGCTTCCTTCAAAGGTGACGTGGTGAGGGGGCAGCCAGGCCCCAAGCACAGGGGTTGATGCTGCTTTTCCCTCCTGTCCCTCCACTCCCCGCCCGTGCTGGTGGGGGAATCCCCCATCCCATCCTGGTTTGGGGTTTCCCGATGGGCTCAGTCGCTCCTTCGCTTTGTCTTTCCGTTTCTCTCCCCGTCGTCCTCGTTCCTAGCAGGAAGGAGCGGCTCTGAAGTTACTCCTAAGCTCTCCCCGATGGGCAGGAGAGGAGTTGAGCCCTTTCTCTGCCTTTTTCCGGGAGCCTTGGTGGGAAATGTTTCCAATTAAAATTCCAAAATGGCTCCTCGGCGCTGTCTGGCGGCGCGGGGAGGAGGAGGACGAGCCTTTTTCATGAATGGATGTGGCAGGAGGGGTCTGTCCTGCTCAGTGACCCCGCCACAACCGCCGAACCCACTAACAAAGTTTCCAGGAGGCCTGTCTAATTAAACCATTTGTCAGTGTCAGATACTGATGGCTGAGCTCCGGTTTAATATTGCCTGGAAAGGGGATAGATCGGTGGGGTTTTTGCTTCCCTGCCTCTGCCTTCCTTCCCAAGCTGTTGAGCTGAGGAGCCGGAGAAAAAGACTTAAGAGCAGACATGAAGGGTCCCATCCCTCCTCAAGCCTGCTGCGGTTTGGGTGAAGAACAAACCTGTGACACTGCTCTGTCGCAAAACGTGTTTGTAGTGATAAAATAGGTGTGAGGATCGCTCTTTGGCAAAACTTATGGCCTCTTTTCCTTCTTGAAGGTGAATTATTTTATTGGGTTTTAGTGCCTGGGCTGGGTATGTGGTGGTGGTTCTTGCTTTATCTTTTCAGACAGAGATACTTTTGTGCTCTTCTGTCTAGGTGGCATAATAGCTCTTGCCTAAACTGCCCCAGACCCATATTTCTGAGAAGCTAAACGAGGCAAGATTGTCTCTTGCCGTTGATTTTATTTTTGGATGTTTGTTTCTTTTGTGATTGAGATTTGGCCCCTGTTTATCACAAGCAATATCGACCTTCGTAAGAAACACTCTGGTTTTCTGGGACCTGTTTGCTCAGTAACAATCTGCCCAGGGAAGATGAGGGAGCAGGGAGATACCTTCGACTTCACCCCAAGAAAGGCATACCAACTTTTTGCTGGCAAAGACTTGCTAAGTAACATGTACATGTGTTCAGGTAGAAGGATTTCCCATTCAGAAGAATAAAACACCTTTTTCTCTCTGCCTCTCCCCTTCCCTCTCTCCTTTCCCCCTCCCAGGTGGCTTTAACAAGTTTCAGACCGAATATTCGGAGCACTGCGAGACGAACCTTGACAGCTCCTCGCCCAGCAACTCTCCCCCGGCATCCGTCCTTGGCCTGGGAGGGTTGCGGATAAGCTCCGACTGCTCGGATGGTGAATCTGACAGGGAACCCAGCAGTGCCACGGAGTCAGACGGGAGCCCCATCCCTAACAATCAGCCTGCCTTTCCGGTCCAGATCCTACCTTACCTGTACCTGGGCTGTGCCAAAGATTCGACCAACTTGGACGTCCTGGGCAAATACGGCATTAAATACATCCTAAATGTGACTCCCAACCTGCCAAACATGTTTGAGCATGACGGAGAGTTCAAGTACAAGCAGATCCCCATCTCGGATCACTGGAGCCAGAACCTCTCGCAGTTCTTTCCCGAGGCCATTGCTTTCATTGGTAGGTAGTTGGCAGAACATCTCTTTTCATACTCACTGCTTGGGAATGTGGCAAGCCGCTTCCCAGGGCTGTTGCTCATCTCTGGCCTTGCCTCTCCGGGGCACAGCATCGGCACTAGCTTAGCAGCTGAACGTCACGCTGCCGAGGTGACGCTTCTGATGCCTGTCACCCTGGCTGGGTTCAGGGAGGCTTCCCCTTCCAAAATTCAGCCCTCTTACAGCACCTCAGCTGGGTTACCTGCAAGTGGTAGGACCGGCCCCACTGGACCCGGCCCTGCTGTCTCTTGCCCTTGTATGGGGATTTGCACTTGTGTGAAATGGCTGAACCGAGGCGGTGGGGAGCTCCTTTGCCTGCTTTGCTCGGAGGAGTGAGTGTTGATGGGAGTTGCATTAACGTGACTGGTGCCAGCAATTCCTTAGCCTCAAGTGTGATTAAAATCTGGGGGGGGGGATGTTTTCTTTTCCCGAGGGGATTTGCTGGTCTAGTTGTGATGCCGATGTAAGTCACCCTAGCATAACTAACTCCTTGTATGGATACTTCTCCTAAGGTAAGTGTCAACACAATGAGTTAGTGATTATAATTACACTGCAGAGCTCAGCTGGAAAAACTGTGCAGACAGCCCCTGAGACGGCTTTGGCTGGTCGTGGGGAGGGGTGCAGGGGGGCAGATCTCTTCTCCCAGGCTAGTGTTGACTTTGAAAATTGCTTCGTATTGTGTGAGAAGTGTCTGTTGGACTGAATAGTGATGTACACTTCCAGCATGACCTGTGCTGTCTGCTGGTGATGGTTGTTAGCCTAATCGGTTCTGATGGGGGGTGAATGGCACAGGTGGTCATTACCACCATTAACTATTAAAAGCCTTATGGCTTCATATCTGGTTAAAAACATTGGTGTAGGTAAAGGCGAGGGGGACCTTCACCTTCAGACTGAAATCTGTGCAGCCCACTTCAATGCTGCTTTGTTACCCCTCCTTTTTGGACCCCGCTGCATGCGCTCGCTTGCTGTGCTGTAAGGCCTGAAACGGGGCAGAGCGGTGGTAGGTCCTTGGCTGCTTTTCAGCCACCAGAAACCCTGGTTACCATGCGCTCTCCTTTGCCCCTCGGTTTCTGTCCTCTAGTAACATGATTGTGGTCAGGAGCGGCTGCTTCAGTGTGGCAGCAGGGACCCGTCTGATGTCCCATCTGCAATTCCCGCACGGAGTGTGGTATTAAACGTCGGGGTGAGGTACGGGGTCCCTGCTGGCATGTGGCATTTGGGATCCATCTGCTCCAGTCAGAGGATGTCTCTGTGAACACTGCACTTGTGCTTTCCAGTTAATGACAGGAAATGGAGGATTACCTCACTCTAAAACCAAACACCAAGAAAAGCGGTGCAGGTCAGATGAAAGGCAAAAATGTTGAACGGGGAGAGACTGGGGGGAGGGCTGAGTACGCTGGGGGACGATTGCCCACTGTACTGGAAATTCTTGCCTAGTTTTAGAAGCTGGGGCAGAAAACCTGTTGTGGCTTGGGTCTGGATTTTTTTGCCCGCATCTTCTTTGGCCTTCTCTGCACTCAGGGTGACAGTGTCCCTTACCTCTGGCTTTGCCCAAGGATCCTCTTTCTCCTGCCACCTTCTCCCTCCCCGCCAAGCTCTCAGTCAAATGACTGACTTCAAATAGGGCTGCCCAGAAGTAAGCAGTGCTGGGTACTTGCGTGCATTCAGTGCTCTCAGCAGCGTGTCCCTCTTTCAGCACTAAGATGTCAATTCATAAAGGGATCATGCTGTTCCGGCTGTGCGAGAGACAATGAGTGTGTGTGTGCTTTTCAATCGGTGGCAAGGGAGGGGAAATTTCGTCGCTGTTCTCTCGCCATTTTTTGGTCCAGCCTGCATTCCTG